TTTTTTTACATCAAAGTCTTCCTTATAATCACAAAAAGAATAACTTGAACAAAAAAGGCATATTCTTAATCATGTTGGATCGCAACAGGAACACATACTACTTAACTGTGACGACAGTGGGGAGACTGGGTTTCCTGCGGCAGCTGCTTCGCAGGACACGAGTCTGCGTTCTAAACCTGCACTTCAGTGCTGGGCTCGCTCTTGCTGTCAGTGCAACAAGTTCAGTGGCTTTCGCCTGAAGGGCCATCTCAGTTTTTTGAGGGGGAGGCTTCTAGTTTGCTGTATTCTGGTAAATCTAGATTGCTGAGAATTGTGAGCAAATAGGATTGAGTGGTAGGCCAACAGATGTCACAGGCCTAATATGCTTTCTTACATGTGTTTTATAACATTAGTTTTGGCTGTTCAGATTTAATTTACTATTTCCAGTATCTCAGTAATGTTCCAGGTTTTTAAGCTAGCTGAGTTCTAAATAACTCAAGTGTTGCATGATTACATTAAAATATATACAAACACATGCATTTTTAATTATTATGATAATTTATAGTCTCTGGAAAATTCAAAAAATATAAATCATGTAAAAATAAAAATCACTCACAAGCCTATAACACTATTAGTTTTGGATATTTTCCCTTTAGACTTTCATTTTATATTTGTGTTTTTAACTTAAAAAAAAAAAACTAAAAACCTAAAGTTAGGTTTGTGGTACATCAAATTCTGTATACTGCTGATAGATGTTATTAAAACCTCTTGGTAAACCATTCTAAATGCTGGCTTCATTGAGTGAAATGTCCTAATTTACCTAATCATTCCCTTATTTTTGTAGACTTAGAATATTTAAAAATTTGTCCCCCCTGTTGGTGCAACGGGTTAAACCACAGCACTATGAAGCCAGCTGCAGCTGCTTGTGCACGAGTTCGATTCACGGCCAGGGAGCTGACCCACATGGCGCGGCAGACTTCTCCTGACCCGCCCGCTGCTCCCCTCAGCAGTGTACTTCATTAATCCACCTATTCTGCTCCCCACTCTGTCTCTGGTGAATCCTCTCACTGCCCCTGCACCTCTGGCCTGTACCCCAGTTCTTGTATATATTGATAAATAAATCTTAAAAAAAAAGAGTATTTCAAAAATTTTACTTTTAATAAACTGTTATAAGCATTTCTGGGTAACAACACAATGCATAGATTTTAAATAAAATGCTTTTGATTTGCATATGTTAACAGGTTTCCAAAAGGAAACTGCACTTATTTTGTACAAGTTAAATTTTTACAAAAAAGATACTTTTATTGCCTAAAAAAAGAGGTAGCAATTAATATGTAATGCCAAGAAAAATACCAGATCAAAAAAGAATGTCCGGAGGTTGTTTCAAGATGTTTTTTGCCTGACTACAGATGGCTCCATCATTACTTCATCTCAATGAAAAGAGGTTAAAAAAAAAGCAAACTCACAGACTCACTAATTTTATGACCACTGTTTAAGGGCTGTTGACAATTTACTTATCAAATGAAATTAGCACATTATTTCAGTTGTGATAAGTAACTTACAGGGAATTTCTACTCTTAGAAACAACCAGAGTAAAGTGGGTGTTTTTGAGAAGAGTGGATGCAGTAGGACATGGGGGGCTTCTACTGGACCCAAGGTACTAGATTTGAGGGCACAGAGCCTCAAGTAACACGTCTGAGTCACCCCATTCACTGCACATTTTCATCAGTCCTCTGGCTTGAGAATGTCTTATAGCTTGATTTAGGTCCAAGCTGGAAACATGACACCCGGGGTTCTAATGCAGTAATTAAAAAGAATTTATTAAAAAACAACCACCCCGGCCCTCCCTGGTGGTGTAATGGGTCAAAGCACAGCACTATGAAGTCATTGGCAGCTACTGCAGCATGAGTTCGATCCCTGGCCAGGAAGGTGACCCACATGGCACAGCAGACTTGTCCTGTGTCAC